ATCATGCGTGTAGCCATGGAAAATTCTAAGCCGTAAAGAGTTTTAATTTATTGAAACTACGAGGCGGCTCAACGAGCCTATCATCTATTTCAGTGCCGTGGCGTGAATTGCGTTGTATCGATTGTTACTCCATTTAAACCTATGGTAAAGAATCGATTATTAAGGGGTTCGCTGCGAACACCCTATGTTCATCGATCCTTTCCCATAGGTTTAAATGGCAGATCAATCGATAGATCGCAAAGCACGCCACGCCACGCCACTGATCTATAGCACCTGCTGTTACAATCCTTGCCATGTAGAGATTCTATGAAAAAAAATGTTTTTCAAAATTTAGTGGGCAAAATAGAGGTTCTATGAGAAAAAATGTTTTTCAAAATGTAGTGGGCAGAATCGGTTTCATAACTGAACATACACGCCAAACTGTGTGATTTGTGTAAAATCACGACGATGTACGCTAGCAAAACCTCAATTTCTGCACTTTTCTGCAAGCAACTTATTGCTTTTCATTCTTATCGGAAATGGTTGAGCTAATCAGAAGAGGACTCTCCAGGAGCAACACTCTACCCATCGAGGTACTCAATCGATTACCAAACCCGTGCAAATGAGTATCTTCACTGCAACGTTTAAATCCTCAAGAATGTTGTATTTTTTCGTGAAACTAGACCACCCAACATATCTCTTCAAATTTTGCCGTGCATATCTTTCGGTGAACTAAAAAAATCACAGACAATGTAAAGAATTTCTGTTAGTTCTCCCGAAAAAAAAACAAAGAGGTAAAACATGAGCATGAAGAGCGATTTACAACGTAGCCACCAGGGGTACCCATTTTCCGAGCACGGCACGGTTCCCTTTCGTCGTTTCGAAGACAATAGAACACCATTGATTCGAATTAAAATATTAAAAATATCAGGAAACCCCACAAACAAACTTTGTTAAAATTTAAAAATGCTGAAAACATTCACGGGCACGTCAGAATCTTTTAAATTGGACCCTTTTCGTCCGTGCAGGAAAGACATCATCAGTGACTGATCTCCAGTGGACGCCCTAACCGCTCTCTTTCCTCACTCCCTCCGTCCTCATATCCTCCACGGTTTGGCGGGATATCCGTCAGCCAAAAATAAAAAAGAAAGAAATCGTAAATAAAAAAAAGAAAAATAACAAAAAGTAATACTCACGAGAAAAAACCGCCTTTATTCTTGAACTACCGAAACTTGTAGATGCTCGAGAGAAAACAAAAACTTGTAGATGCTCGAGAGAAGACGAAAGCTTTAAGATGCTCGAGAGAAAACACGCTGTATCACGAAAAGAAAATTCACTGTCGATCGAACAGGCCTGTTACGAACTTTCGTTACAGCAAAAATTGGAGTTGTCTCTATCAGGAATTGTCTCACAAATCACGGTGAGTGCATTAGCAAAGATTGAAATGCACTTCGAACTTCACAATCTGCGCAAGAAATTTGTGTTTTTTTGAGCTTCTCGCTTCAAAAACGATACCACGGCAAAAGTGAACATTCGTAAGTGGTGTCGTTCTATCCAACCTCTGTGCCTTAGAAGGATATTACACAGTATTCAACATGGCCGACACCAATCCGCCAAAACATACCTATGTGCCTGGACAAAATTCTAATCATTTCTTAACAAGCCAGCGTGTTTACATTCACGATTTCTTTGTATTGATGAAGATCCGCTTTGGTTCACCTTGTGCTCCCGATTGCGAAAAATTCAAAAAAATCCGTGATGATGGTTGTCATGCATGCCTGGTTGAACTGGCATGGACTGGCCTTTGTAATTTTGAGCACAATTAAAAAAGGTTGACTGCCCTCTGTGAATTAGTCAGTCACTAGTCCCATGGATATGGATTCTGGGATATTAGTAATTCATTCTAAGCGAATGCAATACATGAAAGATCCTCACCACTTTAGTAGGCGAATGCTTGGGTTTCTTTGGAGATATTTCAGAGCAAGAAACACTACTTCTGTTTTTTTTTTGGGGGGGGGGGGGTATTGTGTGCAAAGTTTGAACGGGAGAGATTTTTATATTGGGCGCTTTACGCAAAGTTTTTACTGGTTAGATATCGTTTAAATTCTGAAACAAAGAAGAAACAAGGTAATGTTTAAACAGTCTGGTTCAAAAGACAACTACTTTTAAGAGTTCTTGTAGAAATGGGCCTATCGCAAACCTCAGTGACAGGTTTAAGAATAGTTGAATTCTATATTAAATCTCTTGAAAATTGAAATGAGCGTATTGGCAAAGTCTTTTTCCCCACAATTTGTGCAAGGGGTTTGTGTATTTATCAGCTGCCAGCTTCAAGAAGTATGCTGTGCCAAAGATGCAGTTTCAAACAGAAGTACCAACTTCCCTTTAATTTCAAGATGGACGCCGTTATACCAAGCATTTTTCCCAATGAAAAGAAAGAACGAACGAACCAATTATCTCTCAAAAGGTATTTTGATTTGATTGAAAATTTATCGGAAATTATTATACTTTAACGTCGCAAAACATCTTCTCATAAAGCGTAATTTTATTAAAACTCTGTTCAGTATCTGACGATCTCACCGATTTTTTGATACACACAAAAATCAGCATAATTTTTAAGGCATGTCAGGATTCGTCCGATACGATACAAGCCTCCTTAAATTGGACGTATTTATGCTAAAAGGAACTATGTTACATGCAAATCATATGTACATAGTCCCTTTTAGCATAAATACGTCCAATTAATATCAGCGTAAAAAACCGTGTACACCGTACCGCGCATGCATGCAAATACTTGCGGTTCGCCCATCTGACTAATTGAGTTGGTGTAATCTGTTGCATGGGTGTGCACTATGCATCAGCACAAAATTAGCTTAACAAATTCAGGCATGCGATACTGTAATTAATTTGATTACTTTTTTTAATCCGCAACGGTAGGGGAGGTAGGGCAATGCGAGTTGCGGTCAGCCCTGACTCAATTTACGGACACCAGTAAGTGAAAGTCATCCGAGAAATTTTTATAATATCGCCATTGCCTACTCTCGAAAATGCTGTCCTAGGATAATCCTAATCTCGACTCTCCAGGCGTAAATATGGCAGCAATTTCAACTTTCGCCGGTTATCAAATCCCATAGGTGATATTTATCGTCTTGATCATGGGGTGGAGAGTAGCAAACTGCCGCGTTCAAATTTTCTGTCGAGTTTCGTGTTGTATTTTGGTAAAAGAACCAAGAAAATATGGTGATTGCTGCAGTAATTGTCTTCTTTTTAAGAAGAAAGGGCAATCATTCTGTTTGTTTACCAGGATTAAAAAAAAAAATGTGGCCGAGAAAGTAGAAAACATCCAAATTACAGCCCCAAGAAAGATTAGGATTTATTTGGAAATAACATCACACCCGGAAACACTGACATAAGTAGCTATGTGTATCTGACGTCGGCGTCGTTTACATTTTAATGTACCTCACGGAATGAATTCTATGTGATTTTGGTTTTACGGAAAACCAATAAATCGTGTTGATTTTACGTATGAATCGTTGCTTGCATATAAAATGGTCCTCGACAAATATCAGACCATCAAAGCAATTGGATTGCATTTTGCAAAAAGAAACCACTAGCATTGCAATGTTGCTAAGATTGTGCAACTTCTTTGCCTTGGAGGAAAAACCCGATTATCCATTAATAGTTTCTATTCTACTCGCTAAAAACCGTAAATTTAAGACAAAAATTACCATCTAAATTTCATAGTTTTTCACGATTCCCGCAATTTTATTGCAAAAGATGAAGTTGCACAATCTTAGCAACATTGCAATGCTAGTGATTCCTTTTTGCGAAATGCAATCCAATTAATGCTACGCGAAATGAGTTGTACCTCATGTATACCTAGTCAATTATTGTGACTCCATGAGTCCTTCGAAGGAAGTGTCTCCATATGCCCATGCCATAGGTTATAGAGCTTTAATACACAAGCATTTACGCAAATGAATACCTTAAACAACGAGTATGACGCGGTGAACATTTGTGCAAACACCACCTCCCGTCATCCCCGGATATTTACATAACACCGTTCAATTATACAGGGTGTTTCCATGGTAGCAGACAAAAATAATTTCCCGGGTTCATCATCGCAGATTAATAATTGATCATTCCAATTCCACAGCCCCGGCTTAAATGCTTATTATGTAAATCCCCTTTCACGTATCGTATCAGCAAACCTAGGAGAGGGATGAAGGGGTTGACTTTAATTCCGCGATCCGCGAAAAATATTCGACACCAATCGATACCTCGATCGCTCATTATTTCCGCCCAAACGGAGCAAGAAGCTGTAAATTATTTATATACACTTCCTTTTGGGACCGCGGACGTTTTGGAACTCACCTGTGTAAACCAAGGAAAGAACTCTGACATGATACTATTTAGCCGAAGGAAAATGTTTTCGAATTTATATATATTTTTATAACCTTTGAATCATTTTCAATTCATTCATTTCGATCGATTCCGATGGCGGTTTGGAGTCGCAGAGCGCTCTAGTGCGCTGAGGTAGCGGCTTGATATGTATGTATGTATGACTCATTTTCAAAAATTCAGTCGGGCCTTCCTGATCAGGAACCACACAGCCGTGTCGAGGGAAAAGGTCGTATGAACATTCGAGAGTCGCCAAATGTCCCCGGATAAAACATGTATTTTTGAGGAAAGTTATGCTCATTTTTCCTTTAAATTTTCCGCTATTTTAGATTAAATTGCGAACAAAATTTCCCAAAAAATTTAAAGAAAAATTGTGACAATTTTCCAAGTGAATTCGTTTTGTATCGAAGGAAATTTGGTATCACGTGAAGGCTCTTTTGGCGTTCTTCCTTAGCACGGCAGTACAGTTGGCAAAAGTGTTGATACATGTGCAATGGCTCTGACGATAAGCTGAACTCCACATCACAAGCCAAAACGGAATTGATTTAGATTGATTTCAACAGGTATGTGTCATGATCGATTAAGACATGAGTCAACTTTTTAAAATCATCAAAAAGGGCGTTGCAACTGCAATTTTCCTCCGTTTCGGCCCAGAACCGGCTGTACTTGATTTTACCTCTGCGTCGAAAAAACACCCCTTGTTAAAATGATCAATTGTCTCACGTCAAATGTCAGCGATACTTTTTCATATTGCTGTTACAATTTATATCAGCAGGAATTTTAAGGCCTTGACCTTACCTTTTGCCAACGTTAATATCAAATAAGTTGTGAGCTTGCGCAGGTGTGGCCTTCAATTTCGTAGACGGTATTTGTTTTTCAGCTGTTTCAGTAGTTTTTTCAGGTATTTGTGATTTTTCAGCTGATCTAAATTTTTAACGCCCGTAGTTTTCAACACAAATAATAAACCCACATTCTAATACCTCATAAGCTGAAGTGATTCTGAAAGTGGTCCCAAAGAGGTTAAAGTGTCCATCTGAAAAACACGCACTTAACAGTTGCCTTTAATTTTCGCTGTTTTGCAGTTTGTGTCGCTCCCAGGCAATTTAAGCCCAGCGAACCACTATACTTTAAATAGTTTACTGCCGAAAGTGCGACGCTGCTTTCCAACCCTATGAAGAATTTTTGATTCACGCATATTGTCTACGGCTGAACATCTTACTCAGAGGTAACCCCATCCTACAAAAACTTAAAGCAAAATGATAAATAAATACTAATGTCAAAGCGACAAGGGGCAGTGGATCTGGGATCCTTGCTCGCAATCAATGTCGAAATACCGATCGAGGCTAGTATTCGTGTCAAAATTCAAAGGTCGTTACCTGAGGAAGACGAGGATTAAGTACCCCCCGCACATTTTAAAGTTAACCTCCTTTGGGGTCAATTTTAATCAATGTCAGGTATTTTTCGAGGATTATTTGTGCATCCTGAAGTTGACCTTTGAATCAATTTTGGTAACTTACAATCCATCTCAAGTGATATTTTGAGATGTTTAAGCCCTTCCCCCTTCTCATAGGCAAATCTTGCTTTCTCGCGACCAGTGTTTTTCGCATATTCCTAATATTCGGCTGAGATGAATATTCGGCTTTCTCTTCGAAACCGCTTCATCTTAAAGCTTTTTTCCTTTTTCTTGAGCGGACAAATACCACATCCTGAGGACGGTTAAACCAAATCGTCCTGCGGCCTGATTTTTGACATTGATGGCGAACAAAGCGCCGGCCAAGAAGAAAAAGGGGAACTGGAGCATTGCAAAGGGGACTGCAACTGGAGCAAGGGGAACATTGGTTGTAACGGGTGACTATCGTAATGAGCCGCTAGACGAGGTCTAGCAACCAAAAAAATCCACGATTATTCTCTTCAAAATCTTCCATAGAAAGATTCACGTAATGTAGGAAGTTCGGTAATCAACTCGCATGAGTGAGACATTGACAAATATTTTTGACACGGATCAACTGGAAGTTACATCATGCGAAAATGACGTCATTTGCATGTTTCCAATTGACCAATGTTAATGCTAACGACAGAAGAGTTGTCTTGTTTAAGAGTTGATTTTCGGAGATCCTGATGTGCGATTCGAATCTCGCGTGAAATTTTGAGGGGACGACATTATTCGTATTAAGATTCAATTAAAACCTTGTCTAGAGACCGATCATTTTTCCAGCGGGCTGATAATTCAAATTGGTAGACAAAGAAAACAAACGTAAAATGGAGCGATCCTACTGATAGAAGCGAGTGGTTGCAATGACTAAAGATAGTTAGTCTTTGATTATAACTAACAGTAACCCACGAGAGACCCTTTCATTAAATCCATCATTTTCATTCCGCCTTTAGTCTACGGCCTTGTCTCCACGAGCCGTTTCACGAGATTTGTCCCAGGGAAAAATCCCACTTACGAAGTTGGGAAAAATATTGAGTTAATCAATATTTTTCCCAGTACCAAGTATGGTACTTGTACCCCTAGGACCCACTGAGAGAAGAAGAAGAAGTGAAAACGAACTGTGCGATATTTCATTCATTACCACATTGTTAATGTTTGTTTAGTTAAAATAATGTGTCTGATTGTCAATTGAGTGCATTTATTACTATAATCCCGGTTAAATACTCGACTTTAACTACTTTATCTTCCCGCGCAAACTAGTCGCAGGACTGTATGAGCCCCGTCCCGTGGAGACGGTAACTGGGAAAAATCCCAGAAGTTTCATTCCTGCGATTTGAACTTGGGACAAATCCCATGAAAACGTCCCGTGGAGACAAGGCCTTACTAAAGTCAGCAAAAGTTCGGAAATAAAGCGTGTGCGTTTTGCTCATATTGCAGCTCGCGTGAACTTGCCGCCCAGGTCCCGCGGCGATGGGCCGTCCTTTGGTGCTGTTCCTGCTCTGCGCGGGGTTGCTAACCGTGGTTTCAGCGGCGGCGTCGGGTGGTGGTACCTGGTGGGCGACAATGTATCCGGATGCGCAGATGCAGGGTACCGCAGCCCCGCTGCAAGGGAAGAACGACCCCAAGGACTGCCAGAAGGTGCCCAAGGGGGTCACCCCGTCTTCCATCCAGATGGACGTGGGGCCCGAAGGGGAGTGCTTCCAGAGTCTCAACATGTACTCGGACGAGAACTGTAAGACCAAGCTGGTCTCCTTCAAGTGCTCTCAGCAAACGCTCGACAAAAAATTCGACAATAAAATACGCTCGGCGGCCTTTGCAGGAACGTGCTCTAGGAAAGAGACGCCTTGCGGGGGGAGGAAATAGGTACGCCGAGAAAAAACTATGGTTGTTATAATCAGTGGTGTTCAATATGCACTCTTAAATACTAGTGGTCATCATCAATAATAGTGATATTTCTACTGGAGCAATCGTAATTTTACAAAATATCCCTATTATTGGTTATAGCAACTACTAATTAAGTTTATAAAAGCATATATGGTGACCTTTATATTGAACACCACTCATATGGTAATTATAACTATAATTTTTTCTCAGTGTAGTTTCGCAATAGCAGAAATCGTCATATTCCGGCCGAAGTATCACAAGCGCCATTTTACGTTTATAAATTACCGCCATTTTATTTTTTGTAGGGAAATTTGTTCAACGAAGCTGTCCGATTTCACTGAATTTTCTTCGTGCTGCCGATAAAATTCTCAGGAATTTTCAAACAGATCGATTTAGCGAACAATTTCTCTGTACAAAAATGGAATTTTTCCTCGGAATTCGTGCGTCGGAAATTTTGAAACGTCGCGTGGCGCTTGTGATGCTTTGGCCGGAAGGTGATGAAATGCGATGTTTAAGCTAACGAAGCAAGTTCCGCAACGACCAAGTTCAGCGGTGAATGAATCAATGTTCATCCGATTTTTGGGTGTGCATGTCTGGAGCTTTCGAATTTCTTCCATTTAATTTCAGAATGATATCTACACACACCGAAGTTACGATCGGGAAGCGTAACTTTTCGAAAATTCTCATTTCGAGATCTTGTCAAACGTTGAGGATAAGGTATAGGCTCGTTGTTTCAGCATTTTCAAAATGATTACAATGTGTAATTTTGAACCGAGAAGGTGTGTGCTAGTCTTATATTGATACCGGATGAAAGATACTCGCAAGCTTCGTAAATACCCGGCCTAAAATTGGATTAAAGTTGCTTGATCTTCTGCTGGGAGCTTTTGTCAACTGTGAGCCTCTTCCGTTGACTTTAACGGCGCATTTCTGAGAACCGACTTAGTGGCCACGTCGCGTCATTCGCACCGAGTTTGATCAATAAAACCGAATCACGTTAAGGCAAATTCTTCGTTTTAGCAAACTATCTTTGGCTATTTTTTAAGTAAAATCCAACTCTTGTTGTTTACCTAAAACAGCCTCTAAAATATGACCACTTTTCTATGAGTTATTCGACATTTTACTCGAACATTTTACGTGTTGAAAAACTACAGTTGAAGTTTTAAGAGTACTCTAACACTTTTTTACTCAAAGGGCCTCCGAAAATGAAGACTTTCCTAGAGACGAACCCTTTCATAACAACGTGGTGTTCCATGGTTTTCCATACAGTCTAAAATTAGTGATTTGTCCTTTTTTATTCACTTTTTTTTTTTTTTTTTTTTTGAGCTTAGGAGTTGATTTTAGACAACACTGTGGTGCAATATTAGTTGTTTTTTCGAAAACATAGGAAATATCGGCTGAATTATAATTTAGAGAAAAATCTGATCCTCATCTCTGTGACAACTTCGAAGGCCGCACCTCCGCATCAATGTTTTTTAATTTTAATTGACGCACATCCACACAAATAAAAACCTTAATAAGCGAACAAGCGACTTATCATTCACATTTGTGCAAAAATTATTTCCTATCAACCTTGGATTTTTACAGTACACTCTCGTTCCTTGACGGCGTGTTTACTTCGTAACACGCAGAAATGAGTTGGGAGGTTCATCATGAAAGATGAATTATTAATCTTTCAGTACCACTGCCCAGGAAAAACGTTAATTTTGAAGTTCCGAAGTTCAAAAGTCGGATTTTACATCCTTACTATGGGTCAAACGGATTCAGATTAGATTCAGTATCAGTCATGCTTAACCTCTAAAAGCAAAAAGAGGTAATTCCAGGTTGAGTTAAATGTTTTCTACAACGTGGTATTTTCGTGAATGCTCAGCTTCTCGTGCTAGCCGGGTGGCGGTCTCATAATCAGAATCTCCCGGGTGTTCGTTTTCCTCCGTTCGGGCTTAGAACAGGTGTTATTTGATTTTGTTGGTCCGTCAAAAAACATCTCTTGAAATGATGATCGATTGATTTGCGTCGAATGATATCAATATGTTTTCATTCCAATGTCATAAATCTCTGCAAGGCTTTTCAGGCCTCGACCTTACCATTCATTCGACGTCAACAAAGCGTGCGCAGGTGTACTCTTTCAACTTTATCGTCAGTATTTTTCACCTGTTGTAGCAGTTTTAATTGTGATTTCCTGTCACCCGTTCGTAATATCCACGTAAATAATAGTATTGAACTGTAACTTGGGTGATTGACAAATTAATAGTTTTACATATTTCAACCAAATTCTCTCTTGAAGATAAGAAGACTGGACCTGAAAATACACAATAGGAACTTAATCCAAATTTTGGCTGTTGGTGCTGATAGACATAACGTAATCTGAGTAAATTCTACGAAACAACCTCCAAATAGGTAAAAATTCAGAATTTGTATAAATAGTTATAATTTATCTCTTATTTTCATAGAGGTGTAAGTGTTTCATTTTAAAAACGCTAAGCTGCCTGGAAACCTCTGACATTCATTTAAGCTACCGAATCGGCTAAAAATTATTATAAGCAAAAATTAAAAGTTAACGGCAGCAACGGTGCACATAAGTCAACAAAATAGTCGACATGATATATACAAAGAAATATCTTAATAAAAATAGACGAAAACTATAAAATGAAGTAAAAACGAAGGAAAAGAGAAAGAATTGCAATTCAAATGGGCCATTCGACAAAATATTAGTCAGACCACTACATCTAACGTTTCTTCTTCAAAATCTCAAGAGAAAAACAAATCACACAGCGAGAGATCTGAAAATCAACTCACGAACAAGATAAAGTTGATTACAATGAATATTGGTCAGGTGGCAAATATAAAAATGACGTCATTTGAATGATCAAACTTCCATCTGATCTATTATGTTACAGAAACGTGTTAATGCACATATCGTTCAGAAGATGATTGCGTCGTCTGAATCGTTTTCTACGTAATATTTTGAGGAGGAAACACGTAACGGTTTTCTTCTCGTTCAGACCTTGTCTAGTCGTCAATCATCATACAGTGCATAGAATCGTAATGTAAAACGGAGAGCTAGCGTCAGTTTTAAGCATTTTCCAGGTCCCGAATTCCGAGACTCCCGTGTGACGCCGGGTCACTTTTTCGATACATAATCGATTGTGTTCGATACACGGAGACCCGGCTATCCAATGTAAACAAAGAAGATAGGAATTACTACATATTCCACACCGCCATTTTTGATCGAACATGTATCGAAAAAGCGACCCAGGCTCGGCGTTCACCGGGCTTAGAACTCGTCGACCAGAACATGGTGCCAGCTCTCCCATTTACATTACGACTCCATGTACTCCATGTCAATTCTATTGCTTAAATTAATGTAATGGAAATGTTGCATGTGTGAGGAATGGACCACTAGACAAGGTACGAATTTAAGCGATCTGATACATGTTTCTTAACCAGAATTTCACGTAGAAAACGATTCACACAACGAAAATTACGGAAACCAACTCCTAACGAAGATATTAACGTTTTTATTTCACATTGGTTACGAGGAATTTGAACTGCCCGCTCACAAGAAACTCAAAACTCTACGTGAGTCAAATCGCCCACTACAACGGTTTCAGCAAGCCTCTCAATCGAGCAATGTTCATTTCCCACCATGTGTTGTTCAAACTATTAGCAATTTGCTATAACTGAGCCAAAGCGTCAAGATTGAGGTTGCCAGATTTTTATATCGCAGAGACTGTCATGATAACGTTTAGCGCGCGTTGTGAATCACGTAGAGCGTTGAGTTTTCATGAGCGGGTGGTTTGAATTCACGCATTAAGAATTATTAAATATCTTCGTAAGGAGTTAATTTCGGTAATTTTCGTTGTGTGCATCGTGTTTTACGTAAAATTTTGGTTAAGAAACATGTATCAGAATGCTGAAATTCGTACCTTATCTAGTGGTCCATTTGCGATTTGACTCTTGATTCTAATGTAAAAGTTCGCGAGAAACACGATGGAGCCACTAGTTTTTTCTGAAATCAACTCCCAAGCTCATAAAAAGCTCTCAAGTTGAGGCCAAAATGGCGGGGATATCCCACGCTATCCTGAGAGTCCACCTCTACATCAAAACAAACTCTCCATGCAAAGATAGGGAACAAATGCATTAGTAGGGTGACCTGTTTTCAGTTTTACAGTCTCCAAATAAAGTGGCAACCCTGTCAATGTATTTGCTCCCTATCTTTGCACGGAGAGTTTGTCTTGATGTAGACGTGGACTCTCAGGATAGGGTGGGATATCCCCTCCATATTGGCCTCAACTTGAGAGCTTTTTTTGAGCTTGGGAGATGTTTTCAGAGAGAACCAGTGGCACCATCGTGTTTCTCGCGAACTTTTACATTAGAATCAAGAGTCAAATCGCAAAGTCCTCACACATGTAACATCTCCATTGTATCACGTTTCTGCGTCTTGCTCCCTTGGCAGCGTGGAACGCAACCCGGCGACGATATCCGTAGGACAATGTGCCGTCTTCCCGTCTTGCTACTCGTATGTGTGGCCCTCCTGGGAGTGCCGACGGACGGGAGGTGGTGGCCGTCGTTGGCCTGGCTCCCGGGCACGGTCCCCGCGGAGGACAAGTGGTGGGCGACCCTGTACGAGGCGCCCCACTTCGAGGGCAATCGCGCGACGGTGAACGGGACCAAGGACTCGAAGGACTGTCAGCCGCTGCCGTGGGGTGTGGCCGGCCGGGTGTCCTCCATCCAGCTGGACGAGGGACCTCGGGGCGAGTGCTTCTCCACCCTCAACTTCTTCAAGGACGTCGAATGCAAGGAGCTCGTCGCCACCCACAAGTGCTCCATGCGCACCCTCGAAGGCACTGCCCATAACAACGTCATCCGCTCTGTCGCCTTCGCTCATCATTAAGACAATCACAGCAGCCGGGGGTAGAGCGCTAATAGGGAGAAACGGACATGTCGGAAATTATGAGGTTAGGGCCTGGAGAGGTGGCCAACCTACGAATTCAATTTATTCAGGGTGATTTATTTACGGGAAAAAGAGGTAGCGGTCAGCACTGAAAAAAAAGTAGCTTGGATCAAGCATGATAATTCTTGAATTTGCCGCCAAGAATTTTCTTTATCTTGCTTTAAGCTGACTTTTTCTTGATTCAAGAAATAATGCTTGGGTTAAGCAAAAAAGTAGCTTATACTAACCAGCAAAATTCTTGATTTAAGATGAAATACTTCTTAGCGGCAAATTTAAGATTCTTTTTTTCCCAGTGAGGTCCCAACTTGGACATTGCCAAATATTGGGTCAGATTCGCCGGACACAGAATCGTATTTTAATGCTTAATTGGATAACCACTGCGTATCTAAGGACGTTCCACATAACACAGTTGACTAAAATCTGGGGGAAAAGGATCAATTCTCGATGAAAAACTTAAACAAAACGAAAAAACCTTCGCATGTACATAAAAGATGTAACTTCATCAAATGATCAGTAACAAGAAATATACCATTGATGAGAAAATGAGACACTATTCATGAGATGCTAGAATATTTTTTTTTTCAAAAAAAAAAAAAAAAAAAAAAAACTGTACGCTACATATGGATAAAATGTGAAATTAGGGATATTAGGGATTTAAGGATATTATATGGAATTAAATTATTCAAAGGACTGGAATCAATGGTTCAGTTGCACTGGTTACAGAATCGTGTTTTGATGCTTGACTCTTGTAGATTAGCTAAAAATAATGAGATCCGCCCAAACTGCATCTCTCTACGTTCAATATTAACCGATATATCGCCCATTCAAAAGTCGGGTTTTTGACGTCATCTACCGTGGTAGTGACATCCTTGGTTCCTTCCACCTTGTTTTCATCCCAGTTTCACGTTGAGTAACCAGTGCGTCACTGACCGATGAAAGCAAGGTACGGAAGAAACCAAGGGTGTCATACTATTGCGGTGGATGGCGTCAAAAACCCGAATTTTCAAATGGCGATATCTCGGTCAATTTTGAACGTAGAAAAATGCGGTTTGGACAGATCTCATTATTTTTTAGCTAATAATCTGCAAGAATTAAGCACCAAAACACGATTCTGTGACCAGCGCAACTGACCCATTGTGGTATTACCCCAGTTTGTTGCCGTGGTACCCCAATAAATTATGTAATCAACCCAAATGTTCCGGTACTACTCCAACTTGAGTTGCGGCACCACCACAATTAACTGAAAATGTCCTTACCATCCAAAAAGTTGGGGTGGTACCACAATTTTAGGGGATAATCCCCTGGAACTTTTCTTCCGGGTTATTATAATTGTTACTCGTTGTTTGTGAGGCACGTATATGACTGATAGTCGATCATTTGGGCGACTCGCCCCAACGAGGTTTGCAAGGGTGGGGGCGAGGGTAGGTAATGACTTCCTCTGCCGCTTTCGTTTTCATTCTTGCACAGATTTTTTCCTTTCAAATTTGAGTAGGAGAACATTTGTCGAGGAAAACGCTCACTGGACCTTCTTATTGGCACAACGAAACCGTTTGCTCCTGTTTTTTAAATTATTTGACAGCACCAAAATATGATTGTCGATTACTGTACACACATTTTCGTCCGAAGTTTTATGCTAAAAGGCTACTTTGTCCGTCCATCTTTAACTCGCGCACCAAGAAACTTCACTGACCTGTAGGAAACCCTCTCCGATACTGCATTGATCCCCGAGACAATGGCGTAATCAAAGCAATACAGGTCAACGGTCTGCCAATCCGAATTAATTATTATCACAGGTAACGCTCTAACAGTTGTGAGCGATGAGACGACTGTCCATTGCAGCGTTGCCATATTTGCATTCTCATTTTGGCAAGTCGCCCAAACGATGACCTACCATTTGACTTAGTTTTCGCATAAATTGACTCATTTTTATAGAAAGTTCATTTATGAACATTCTTGATCACCTTGGTTTGATGTCGGAATACGAAGACTGGCGGTGACGTATTCTTGTGTCAGGAGGTTGGCTGCTCTTTTGGCCCAAATAGCTCCATTTTTCGACGTGTCCTGTACTGCCGCTCTTCCTGTACTGCCGGACGAAGGAAGAACGCCGTATGAACATTCGCGAGTTGCTAAATTACCTTCGGTGAAATGTTTATTTGTGAGGAAAGTTATGATTATTTTCCCTTGAAACTTTCAAGAACATTAGATGAAATTGCGAACAAAATTATCTGCAAAATTTTAGGGAAAATATTCATAAGTTTACTAGGAAATTCGTGTTTTATCCAGGGAAATTTGGCAACGCTTGAAGACTCGTACGGCGTTTTATCCTTAGCACGGCAGATAGGTACTTTAGCCGAAAGCGCAATCACAACAACCAAAGGAAGATACAGCAGCTCAAGGTCCGAATTTCGTTGGCTACGGTCGACCGCAAATTGCGAAACTTCACCTCTGAATCTGACTTAAAGCTGGGAAAATTATATTAGTAGCCCAGGCTGTACGCAAGTTGAGCTTTTTTCTACAGCAAGGTCGAGCCATCCTTAGTTTCTCGGCGGTGCAAACCATTATTCAGCGATGGAGCAACAACTAAGTCAACATCTTTGCCTCAACTTGTACGGCCAACCGCAAACTTGCAAACGAAATTTGGGCTCTGTGTACTATTGTCCAGTTCATGCCAAAATTATGAGAGTTGAAAGTCTCTCGGTCACGTCTTTAAGAGAAGCTTTTCTTTCAAAATCAAAGCACGGCTTATTTCAAGCTCTTAACATGTTTTTCAAAAATAAAATGGTGCACACGATAAATACCCATGATAAGACTTTTTTACGACCTGAACCTTGTGAACCTTTTTTTGTGAACTTTTTTTGTGTGATAGGGAGTCACGGATTTGATGTCACGGTATTAACAGAAACGAAGAAGAAAGGACAAGGCTCTGTAAGTGTAAAGGAATACGATTTGTTTTATAGTGGCGTGGAAAAAGATCAGCGAGCTCAACAGGGTGTTGCAATTCTTATTCGCAAGAGCCTACGGAAGTGCATCACTACATGGGAAGCTGTTAACCCCCGAATGATAAAGATGAATATGACAGTGTTTGGCCATAAAATCACCATTTTGGGAGTGTATGGAGTCAACGATGATTCCACTGTCGCAGTGAAGGACCAATTTTTCGAAGAATTGAACGAGGAAATTGGTAAGATTGGATCCAGGAGGGAAATCATTGTGTTGGGAGATCTCAATGGTAGAATAGGACGTCAAATTAAAAGTAAGATCGTCGGCCCTTTCGGAGAGGCGGCACTAAATGATAACGGAGCCCGTATCATTGACGTATGTGAGCAAAGGGACATGAAG